ACAACCAAGATTCCTCAGCAAGGCTATCATTTAGAATCAAAGGAGTTCACCACCACTAAACCAGTATTGCAAGAAATGTTAAAAGGACTTAGTTCAGAAGAAGAAGATAAAAGAGAAATATGAGCAATAAAATGGCAATAACTGCATAGCTATCAACTACTTTAAATGTAAATGGATTACCAATTACATTCTCCAATTAGAAGACATAGGGTGACTGAATGGATAAGAAAACGACCCTTCAGTGTGCTGCCTGCAAGAGACCCATTTCACATCGAAAGACAAACTGAAAGTAAAGGAATGGAAGAAGGTATTTCTTGCAAGCGAAAACAAAAAGTAAACACTGGACTAGCAATACTTACATAAAATGGGCTTTAAAATAAAGACTGTAGTAAGAGACAAAGACCCAACAATTCCACTTCTGAGTATTTATCTGAAAAAAAAACCAAAATTCTAATTTGAAAAGATACATGCATCCCTATGTTCATTGCAGCATTATTTATAATAGCCGAGGTATGGAAGCAACCTGTGTCCATTGATAGGCAAGTGGATAAAGAAGAGGTGGTACATGCATGTAATTGAATATTACTCAGCCATAAAAAAAGAATGAAATCTCGTCATCTGCAACAATATGGGTGGACCTAGAGGATATTTTAAGTGAATTAAGTCAGAGAAAACTATATACCACATAATTTCACTAATATGTGGAATCTAAAAATATATGAACAAACAAACAGATGCAGGTGGGGGGCTGGAGGGATGGGTGAGAAAGGGGACGGGATTAAGAGGTGCATATTACGGGTTATGAAAACAGTCACTGGTATATAAAGTACAGCATAGGGAATGTTGTTAATATTATAACTACATATAGTGCCAGGGGGTGCTAGACATATTCTGATGATCACTTTGTAAGTTATGTAAATGTTTAATCTCTCCGTTTTGCACCTGAAATTGATATGCTATTGTATGTCAAGTGTAATTGAAAAATTAAAAAAGATGAGTCATAATAAAGAAATTTACAGTGTAACAGGGGAGACGGAGAAATAAACATGGTTACAGTGCTATGAAATCATAGCAGCTAACTAGTTCAAAGCTGGAGAGATGACACAAGCTGAATCTCGAAGGACGACTTAGGCCGATGAGCAGTGAGGAAGTAAATTACAGGAAATTAGTGGGCAGCAGTTATGAGGGTGTTACAAGCCATGATAATTTGAGGAGGCAGGAGGTTAAATTCAGCAGGGCTTTTGATTCGCGCAGTGAGGAGTATGTGCAAATGTTTGTTGATCTGAGTAAGAGAAAGAAATTTGTATAATCGATAAATGAGTTATAGAGTAATTTTGAGAGCAAGGCATTCACATTGTTTGGAAAAGGTTGAAAATTGGCCATAAAAAGGGTATCTAGAGATGGGTCAAGATTTAGAACTGTTAAAAGATAAACAGCTATATTAAGAGTTTTAAGAATTTATTTGAAAAGGGTCTATTCGAATGGGACAGCACCAAGCCAGGAGTGGTCAGGAGCCCGCTGCCGACAGGAGCCGGAGGAAAGGCTCACACAGAGAAAGTGCAGAAGCAGAGAAGGGAAGCTGTTCGCCTGGCTGTGGCTCGACGCCCGGCTGGCTGTTTGAGATCGATGTCCTCGCGTTTGGATTTCATAACCTTGAGGCCTTCGGGCCCCGGTTTTAGTTTGCTTCTCTGGCCCCGTGCATTAGAGGCATTAGTGCCTCAGATCGCCCCCTTACCTGACTTCGCAGTGCTGAGAAAATCAAAATTGGGATATATATGGTGTATTTCAATGTAAATTTTTGAGAAAAGTTCATTGTAAAGCAGAGAGATTTGCCATGCAATGTTTGAGAGGAATAACACTTGAAAAATACAGCTGAATGTAAATTCGTCATGCACGAGAAAGTGACGTAGGCTAAGAGGATAGGAAGAAAGCGAAGATGTGAGACATGTCTGGAGACGACGTCGGGGGAAGGACTGGCTCTGTGTTGCCGGGAAAAAAGGTATCAATTGGAAGACTGAAAACAAGGCTTGGGAAGAAATCCATGTATTTACTTTCTCTGGTTGAAAACCTGGAAGTGGGTGGAGATGATGAAAGCTAGGTATTAACACTGACTTAGGAAATCTGGCATTTGGAAGATGAAAACATTTTTCTCATCCACAACGCTTCTGCGATCCTCCCGTAAGGTGCTATATATCATGCACTGAAAGGAACATCGAAATTGAAAGTACAGAAAAGGTGGAGAGAGAGGTGAGGTTATTAGATCCTATGGCTGGACAGGCATTTTCAGATTAAAATGAAGAGCCAAACTCTAGGCAGAGGTTAGAGGGTTCCCCGGATGCCCCCCGGATGCCCCTCTGTTTGTCCTTTGGTAGGTGTTGCAGGTGCTCTTCAAGTTACTGGAATGGCAGTGTTTAGAAGTGTTCTTTTTCACCCAGTGACGCTTATAAATTAGCAGGAGGGTGACATTCCTGTGTTTTCCATTTAAGAGGATTAATCAGTGACTTTTATACAGCGAGGTCAGTGTAGACAAAGATTCTGAGAAATCAGCCGGCTTCGCTCCCAAGCGGTTGAAAGTACATACACGTTGAGACCTTAGCCCCGAGCTTATCTGAAGGTAGAGGGAAGTTGCGGAGAGATCCTGGGAAGAAAAGGCCTGTGGGAGACGAGTTAAAGTCACGCTCACATTGCATCCTTAAGCTTGGAACTGATTGCACTTCTCCTGTCCCCCTGAGGTGCATGCGGGGAAGTCTGGAACTCTGAAGCGCTCTGGAGCCATAAGCGGTGGCGATACTGCCGCTAGGTGGGGCTGAGGGTCCTGAGTCGAGTGGACAGATGCTGACGGCGGATGCAGGGAGGCTGTGAGCAGAGTGGGCTCGTTGCCGGAAGGGAGAGTGGCCAGATCTGAGGCCAGCAGTTGTTGGCAGTTGATGCCGAGACAGAGGAGTGGAGATGATGGCATGCGGTGGGGGGACAGTGGGACTGCGTGTTGTGAGGAAGCCATTCGGGGAGTTGAAAGTGTCTTCAGACCCTCGGGAGACCACTGTGGTGATGATTTGTAGTCTGGTGCAGGTGATTCTGGGGGCTGTCCTGAGAAAGCTTCCCACCCCTTCCTCCTCTCCACACATGCAGTCCGTTTGCGTGACATCGAGGCCTGGTGATGAGCAGTCCCTGTGAAACGGATTTTCCCCTTTGAGTATTCGGGTCATACAGAAATGTAAAATTGAACAGAATTATGCTTTCTTATAACAGGCTCTCACTAGAAAAGTCTCTCTGAGATACATCAAAAAAGCTGTCTGCAGTTAGAGCCATCCTGTTGTTTACTAAGGTTACCCAGTTCCCATCCAGGGGGTTCTCCCGGGGAGCAGGACCAGAGCCGGAAGGTCTGAGCGAACCAGGACGAGCTGTCACCCTCTTGTTTCCTGTCGCATTTTATAAACTCACTGAAATAACCAGCAATATCTTTTGATAAATGTTCTCTCTATATAGAAGTAATAGTTCCATATCATTTAAATTTCCCTATTTTGAGTTTGTTTTTATGAAATACTTATTTTCTGCTGTAGAATTGCTGAATCTTGGATATTTCAGGACATGGGAGGCTGCTTGGTTCCTCTCTCTTTATCTTTGCCACATTCATTGAGTTTTAAATTTCGTGCTGTTGATGCAATAAATTTGGCTAAATGCAGGCTTCTTCACCTTACAAGTTCCACGTTCACGAGACTCACCTTCTCTAGCGCCTGGTAGCAACCATCCGGTCTCGTTCCTGAGAAGTTTCCTGTGTGTTAATACTGTCTTCTGGAGTCAGTGTTGAAGCTAGGACTTTGTCTTCTACCATCTTTGTGTTCTTGCCATACCCACTTTACAGACCAGCTGGTCAGTATGTTATTAATTGACCCAGGCAGATAGATGCATGACAGTGTTTCCCTGGCTCTTCCAGACATTGACGCTGTGCAGAGTATGCAAAATGGATCAGATCTGTTGTTTTTTAAAATGTTGCTTCTGACCTAATGACATCTGAAAGTAAGCAGGCAGTACAGGTATATCTTACACGCAAGATATACAGTCTGGAACTTGGAGGACGGGAAATGTAGTTTTGTGTCTATATTAAGGGCCCTGTATTCGCTGCAGCTGGATAAGAATGAAGCTTTATTTTCTCTGTGGCATTTTTAAAGGGTTCTCCTGGACATAAACAGCTTACGTGTAAATGGCCATATGCTCTGGGCATAGGTTATGACCTAAATTCATTTGGATGAATAACCAGTTCGCTTAAACTTTGTTCAAACTCAAGCTTTGCTTTTTCTTTTATCACGCTTGGTCACACAGCTGTGAAGTGGCAGAACTAGAAATGAAACCCAAATATTCTGACTCCAGAGTTGGCTCTTGAAAACTGTGCTGTTTTGTCTCCCACAGTTCGCTCCTCTTCTTAAGTCCTTATCCTGGTTATGGCACTGTCCCCCAGATAGCAAGGTGGGGAATTGCACTCTTTCAGATGGCCTTTTAGTCCCCAGCTGCCCCGTAATCATCTGGTCACAGATCTCATACAAATCTTCAGTTGTCTTTTTTTGTTCACACTCTGGTTCAGATAAACTCGTTTTAAATCGAACCCCCACTGCTGCCAAATTTGTTTTTCTAAAATGCAATCCTAGTTACTGAAATCTCTCAGTGTCTGTGGATAAACTAGGCTACTATGCTGGGTATACGTTGACTGGCACATAAACTATTCCATAGGAACCTGTACAGTTTAGGTTCCCCTGTGAGCTGTTAGCCTCGTCGCTTCACACGGCCCTTACATTCCATTTTCTAGCCATTCCAACAGTTCTCTGAACACGTCAGACTCGCCATGATTCAAGACAGTTCATTCAATGGCGGTTCTCTCTGTGAGCCTCCTCCTGACTGCTGAAGGTTGGGTTCGCCCCTTTCTCTTGGGTGCCCCCAATGTGCTACTCGACATTCCGCATCTGTTTCAGTGACGGTCGCACTGAAAGCTCTGTATGTGTTCACAGGTTTATGTCTTCAGCAGACTATGTGCGCCTGGAAGGAGGGACCCGAGTCTTCCTCGTCGTCACACCCCCAGTGTCTAGCGCGGTCCTGGCACAGGGTAAGCGATGACGGCCCCGCTATGCTGAGACGGTTAACCCGTCAGGCTCCGTGCGCGTCGATATAGTTCATTATACTGTAGCCCTGTGCACATCGTCACGAAAAATGAAGCCGTGCACTTTAACACTGCCGAGGCTCGATTGCCTCGTGGGTGAGGGGGAGTGGTGCCTCCCTGCTCTCACGGTGACCGTGATGCTCAGGTTCAAGAGCACGTGGAACAGCATGTTCTGTTCTAAGTGCCACACAACTTGACGTTATTAAATAAAGTGTGGGAACTAATCGTTTCTTGAAATCGATCATTTTATGTGTTGTGTATCTTCCCTTCGAAGGCAAGATGGTGCCATTTTTGTACCATCTCTATCGTGTTTGGCAGTTTAAACTTGCAGTCGCCAGTTTCCAGAGGCGCACGCGCTTGAGTCGGAGGATTGGTTTACCTAGAACAAGGGGAGAAGCAGCTCGGGGGCGGCAGTGCAGGAACACAAAGTAGCGGAGTGACCAGCCTTCTCCTTGCTTGGCACTGTTTCCCAGTCTGGGTAGTGTTTTAAGCTTCGCAGTTCTTCTCGAATAACTAGTCCTATGCCTGTTTGTCTCTTTTATTCTCAGCAATTATCTTTCTATCTAATTCATTTAATAAAGTCCCTCAATTTCCTTTTAATCTACCTCCAAATGAGCTAATATCTTCACCTTGCCTTAGGTCCCTTGTTTACTGTTCTGGGGACGGAGTGTCTTTCCTGGAAGACTAGTTAGTTGCACATCATCCGCATGGAAGCCGTACCTTTCCCCGCTTTTCCTTCACAGGGTACAGGCTACTCCCTTCCCATCACACCCGACGACTAGTGACCGCCACTTCCCTGTTCCTACTTCTCTGCCTTCTGTGCATTCTTTAAATTATTGAAAGTTCTGTAGTTTGAACATTCCAATTTATGAGTAACATACGGAAGTTAATAACAAAAGCAAGCGTTTGGGAACCAATCACCGACTTAAGAACTAGGTCAGTATCTGCAGTTAGAGTTACCGTGAGTGCTTCTGCCCTCATAGCCTGTCTTTCTCAACCCTTGAAGTAACTGCTATTCTGAATTTGTTTTTTTATCTCCTCTTTTTTTTAATAGTATTAACACAAATATATATATTTTTTGTTTTGAGTTTAATAATTTTTCCATTTATAGGCTTTTTAAAGCTTGCACAAATGGTATTTTGTTATAGAGGAAAGTCTATTTACAAATCTTCATACATTTCAAAGAGAACATTCAAGCATCCTAAAGGAATACATAGAAAAATCTCAGTGTGCACATTCAAATTTATAACGAGAAAATAATCATGGAGACTTATTTTTGGACCTCGTGGATGCTGCTGCACCACACACAGAATCAGCTCCTTCCCCAGAGTGCAGAATGGAGCGGAAGCACTCACCATGAGTTCATTAGTTTGCACAGAAATGTTTGGGCGAGAGTCACAGTGTACTCCCTGAAAGTGACCGCTTTTCATGTGATTGCCTTTGATCTCCGCCGCTGGCTCTTCAGGGGGCTGCATGCAGGGCCTGCTGACTGTATGGCTTGAGACTCAGGATCCACAGTGTCTTTGGATTTCTTTTTCTGTCATGGAAACGTGGCATTTTTAAAGGAAACACAGGGCAAAAGGTGGGTCATGATAACCGCCAAGAGAATTCACTTTTCCTTCTTTAAGAGAGGCAGCATTTCTTGATGGCCTCAGTGTGGAGTGTCAGTTCTTAGAGGTGGGACTGAGTGACAGGCAGTGTTAATACTTAGAACCCTATTTGTCTTTTTCATTCACTGTCATGTTCCTAAGATCCATTTTTTACAAGTTGCCTAGGCATTGTTTGTTCATCCTCACTGCTGCGTTATGCTCCGTTTTATGAGCCTAATTTGTTTAACCATTTTCTACCTGTGGGCATTGAGTATTTTTTGTGTTTTTATGAAGAATGCTTTTACTTGGCACATGAGTATAAACATTTTCATAGTATGTATCTAGAATTGCTCACTGAAGGACATGCAAATGTTCAACTTTACATGATGATGCCACATTGTTTTCCAACAATTTTAAGGCAAAAGATTTTTCTGAAGAAAAACCAGAGTATGTTTTCCAACAATTTTAACACCTACCAGCAGGATTTTACCAATTTAAACACCTAGTACCACTGTGTAAGAGCCATCACGGTTCCACCTTCTTGGCCATTATTTGGTGCTATCAAATGTCTAGTTTTTACCTTTCTAGTGAGTTTAAAAACATCTCATGTGATCATAACTCATATTTCTCTGATGATTCATGATGTTCTGCATCTTTTCATATACTTATTGGCCTTGCAAGTTTCTCTGTCTATTAAGTTCCTGTTCTGGTTTTTGCCCATTTGTCTACTGTGTTATTTCTTATAGAAGTAAGTGCTTATGTAATTCACATACTAATCCTTAACTAGTTTGTGTTTAATGAATATCTCCCAGTTGATGATTGTCTTTTGGTTTTCTTGATAATGTGTTATGATAAATAGAAGTTCTCGGTTTCCACATAGTCAAAATAGTCACACTTTCTTCTTTGGTTAGTATGCTTCTTTAAGAAATCTTTCTGTTCCGGGAGACACAAAACAATAGTTTTGTGCTGTAATTTCTTCTAAAAGTTTTCAAGTTTGCCTTTCGTATTTATATCACCAGTCCACCTTGAATCGCTTTTTGTATGTGACGTGAGGTAGGGATCCAGTTTCATTTTTACCATGTAGATAATTTCAGGACCATTTAATGGTCCCCCACCTCCCCCATCCCAGAGATCTGCATCGCTACCTCTGTCACATGAGTATGACCTCACATACACTGGTCCATTTGGGGGCTCCCAGTTCTGTTTTATTCACCCTTCATCACTCTCATCAGGTATTTGTTGGTTTTTGTGTTTTCTAAGAACTCTGGCTTTGTTGGTCCTGTTATCTTTTTTTTTTTCTTTCTTCAAGGCTTTCTGTTCTTTAGTATCTTCTACTTTCTTTGTGTTTACTCTGTTCTTCTAACATAACAAATTGGCCTATTAACTCATTAATTTTCAACCTTTTCCTAGTATCAGTCTGTAAGGCTATAGATTTGCCTCTAAGTGTAACTTTTAACGTATCCCACAAATTTTTACATATGGTACTTTAGTTATTCAGTTCCTACTATTTTTAAAGAAATTTCAAATATGGCTTCTTCTGACTCATGAAATATTTAGAAGTGGTTTTTCTTTTTTATTTGTATTTTTAAAATTTATCTTTCATTATTGAATTTTAACTCAATTGTATTATGGTCAGAGCCCGGGAACAACATGATAAATATATTCTTTGAAATTTAGTGAGATTTTTATTTCCCTGTATGTCCCATGTATTCTTGAGAAGAATGTTTATTTCTAATAGTTGGGCATAATATTCTGTTTATGTGCATTAATCATGCTTTTTAATCATTTCGTTTTTAACTTTTTTGGTCCATTTGACCTATGAAAAATTAGCACGTTTTGAAATCGCCCATGACAATAGCCAGTTTGTCAATTTCTTCCTGTAGTTCTAACAATCCTTTGAGGCCCCCACCTCCTGCCTGCCCCCAAGAGATGGCGAGTTTTATTTTGTCTTTTCTAAATGGAGATTGGTTTTGCTCAGGAGTATTCCAGGGTGGAGAGCAGGTAGGAGATAGCACGGGCTGTGGAGAGCAGCGCACTCCGAGTGCTGAGGCTGGGTCTTCAGGCTTCTCAGGAGTCTGGTTCCTCTCCGCCATGTTTCCTCTCAGGCTCCTCCCACCGTCTGTGTTCCCGCCACCTCTTGGACCGTGCTGCAGTCTCCACCTTTGGACACTCACCCCGTCTGCTTGACTTTCATTGTTCCAGGTTGGTCCCTCCTGAAGTAGTCGAGCTGGAGCCCCTCCCCCGTCACTCTTGGCGGACTGCTGCTCTGCGTTTGAGCTCTGCGGCCAGGCAGAAGCATTCGCTCTTCGCTTCACCTACACACCCTCTTCGGATGCAGGGGCCGCCATTACTTTTAGCAGCTGACCAGGTTCAGGAGGCTGAGAAGTTGGACAGCGTATTTCATTTTCCGGCGACTTCTCCCTCTCTCTCCTTCGAGCGTCTGGTCTGACTTCTGGCAGGTGGGGCTGAGGGCCTGGCCTGAAATGACACACTTCGTGTCCTTGACCATTCCCGTTCCTGAGAGTCTTCACTGCCGGTCTGGGTGTGTCCCGAGGCTGTCATTCTAGTTCATCCAGCTGATGCTGCGCTTTCTCCCCTTCCTCCTGTGGCTGCTCCTGTCCTTGTTTTCCCACAGCCGGTCAGCAGGCCTTGCCCCTCCACAGACCAGCTGCTCGACCAGACAGGGAACTAGCAGGGGAGGAGCTGCCTTTCCGAGGAGTACTCTGAGGCTGTAGATTACATTTGGGTCTTTGGGAGGGACCTCCGTCATCACGCCTGTGATCATCCTGAGAATAATCATCTTTGGCGCTCACGGCCGGGCATCCCATCGATCGCGTTGGTCCTCGTGGCCGGCCTGCTTTCTCTGTGGTCGTCACCCCGGAGCCTGCACTGCCACGTGCATTTCTGCCACTGCATCTGCCATAGTCTCTCCTGCCTTGGCCATGGCGGTCTTGGCCTCCACAGTGATTGCCTTCCACATCGTCACCTCTGTAGGTGCATGTCACGAGCTGTCTGTGGCGCTGAGTCCTCCAGTCTGTCTGCTTCGTCAGAATCCTGGTTTCTTTCTCAGTCACAGGATCGGTCATCCCTGTCTCTGTGCTGGGCTTGACTGGCAGTACCCACTGGAATTCATTTACCCGGACACGCTTCACGGAGACTCGGCACTGACCGGGGTCCAGGCTGTCAGACTCAGCATAGCTGAAGCCTTTCAGGGTCTCTCGATTGCCCGGTCCACATGGTAAATGCATTGCACTGACATTTAATCCCCCAGAGAATTCTTTAATGGAGACATCTGCCACATCACAAGTTGAGCTCCCTAGAAGAACAGCGTCGGGTGGCGTCTTGGGAAGATGAGTCTGGTCCTGGGTTCCCAAGCAGCCTGTGGAGCCAAGTGCAGGATGCAGTGGTCAGCTGGGGCGCCCTATGCATGCGGTCATCAGCATCGGTGCCAGGAGGTCGAAACTCCTTCCGGGTCACCTTGTATCAGTCCGGCTGACTGGTTTGGGACACAGATGCTTGCTCCACCAGGGTGACCATCCTCAGCCAGGAGTCCGTTAGGGAGGTAGTCATCTTGGTTGTCTGTTTTGCTGAGGCTGCTCTGTTGGGGCAGAATGCAACGTTAGGCTTTTTTTTTAAAGCATGAAAATTTAGAGTTTTGTGTCTGCTTGCTGAATTGAACCTCGTATTTTCTTTGTTCTCCTTGATAATGCTATTCGTTCGCTATTTTAACTAATCCCAGCTTTCTCTTTCTCTTTGCTTGGTTACGTCCCTTTTCATATTTTTGCTTTCACTAAGTATCTTTATTTTGTACATATCTTCTCTAAATTTGTCCATATACATTAATTCTGACTATTTTTGTATTTTGACTCTTACTTTGTGCTTTCTGATAGTCTTGGTTATTTATGCCTTTTTTTTTTCTTTTCAGCCTTTTTTGAATTGACCAAGTTGTTTTCTTATTGTATTCTCTTCTAATTTAGAAATTATACCTTTTTATTTCTGTTCTTTTATGATTACCCTTGAAATTCTGCTGGGAATGCTGCACAGTCTAAAGTTGAACTGGATCAGTCCATCTGCTGAACATGCAGGAATTTACACCATCCACTCCTGTCCCCTGTCCTTGTCCCGTCCCTCCACTATACGCTTGTTTCCCTTGGTTCCGTATTTTAATGGCTTAAACTGTTTTTGTTTAAACACCGTGAGTACACGTTACTGTTATTTGATTCAGACAGTGTTTATGTAGATTTACTTGTATGCTGCCAGTTCCTTCATCCATCTTTCCCTCCTTGCGTTTCAGATCATCGTTCTGTGGTAATTTTATTCTTTTTATGAAACACAATTTTTAGGTTTCCTTGAAGTAAAGATCTGCTTTTGGTAAACCCTCTTTTGGTTTATCTCGCAGTGCCTTTTGTGTTCCCCAAAGAGACCGTCGGTGTTTGAACAATTTTTTGACTTTCTTTATAGGTGCTGCTTCTATCTTCTGTGCTCACGTTGTCCCTGTTGAGACTCTGCTGTCACTTTACTCCCTCGCTCTGTGTCGTCTCTTTCTCTCTGCCTGCTTTTAACATGGTCTTTGCTTTGGTGATCTGCAGCTTCAGTGCTGCCTGTCTCAAGTGCGAATTTGTTTCTTCGGCTTCATTTGTATATAATTGTGTTTCTTAGAATTGTGGATAAATGTCTGTAATTGGTTCTGGAAAATTAAATCATTTTCTCTCCCGGTATGACCTCTATCTTCATTTTCTAGGACTATGTGTAGAAAATACATGTCAGAGCTCATTTTATTCTTCATGTCTTTTAGCTTCTCTTTGATAATTTCCATCTGTTTATTTAAGCATTCCTTCTAAATGACTTTTTCAGAGGTATATTCAAGTTTACTGATTCTTAAGTTCTGTCTAATCTGAATAAACTGTGGACTTTAGTTAATATGTGAATATTGGTTCCTTAATTATGAAAATTGTAGCACATTGCTATATGATGTAATAATAGGAGAACTAGGTGTGGGGCATATGAGACCTCTACAACTTTTCTGTAAATCTGAAAACTATTCTAAAATAGTTTAAATTCTATCTGGTTCTTTTTCAAATAATACGGTTCCATTCTCATAGTCTCTCTTGGCTCGACTGTTTTATCTTTTATTGCTGAAAATGACTTTTAAAAGTTTGTATTTGGTATTCATAATATTTAAAGTCTTTGGAGGATTAGAAGCTATTATTTTTTGTTTCTGTCGACTTCCTCGTGGTGGCTCATGTTCTTTAAGTCTGATGTTTTTACATTGGTTGCTCTTCATCATGCGTAATCCCAGTGGCTTAAATTGGAGTGTTTTCCTGTGAGCACAGGCATATCTTTCTGC